TAAAGGAGATAAACTGAGCAAACCAGGCGTGTATCCTGTTGGAACAGAGTGCTCCCGTCGTGATCTCACTCCAGTATTTTGAGTGATTCATGCATTTTTACAAATCCTGCACTGTCCAGCGTTTGAGGCTTGAGTATTCGGAAAATTTCTGTTTTCAGCGACCCTCTATCCCCACCCACTTTTTAGTACTTAGTTGAATTATTAAATATGGGTTGAAAAAACGACTTGAAACTAACATTAGGCGACACAGAGGCGCAGATGTTAGTGGAGTTTGCACGTTCCCCCCGTGTCTGTGTAGGGTTCCTCGGGGTGCTCCGGTTTCGCCGACATCTCAAAACTGTAGACTCTCCTGAACATGAGATTTGAAACTCGGTGGGACTTTCCAGATTACATAAACAGGAATAAATAAACAATGGAAAAAAAAAAGTCTGTGACAGTGAAATGCCGCTGTTGAAGCTGGACCTGTCAGTTCAACTCATCGTCATGAACCTGCTTCTGTTATTAAACTGTTTTAGATCCAGGACTTAAAGGGATAGTTCGGGTTTTTTTTGACATGAATCTGTATGTCATCCCCGTGAGCAATGTCGTGCATCAACACTGACTTTACCCCCGACAGCGTCCGGTGAGCCGAGACCCTGGCCGTTTTCAGTGCTGATGAAAGTAGTCCGGCAAGTTGGCTGGGGACAGTGAAATAAAGCCTTTTTCTTCTCAAAACAATATGTGTTCAAAAGAGCGATACATTTGCATCACTAAACCTTCGTCCTCAAAAAAGTCAGACCTCATAATAGCTTGGCACTATTTTCTTTCCGTTCGTATCACTGCGCGCTGCCCACAGGTGACAGCCGTGCCTGGTTCTCTTTGTTTACTACTTGGAATGTTAGAGACAACATGTCTGATTATGACACCGACGATGAAGACATTGCCTGTATCACAAAGCCAAGGGGATATTCTTATGTATCTTATACAAGCTTATATACTTATGGCTCTAGCTCTCACGTTAGCTCTCTCACGAACAGCTGAAGAAAGTGATGGATCCGTGTGCGGCTGTCACCTGGCAGCAGCGGGCAGTGATACGAACGGAGAGAAAATAGTGCCAAGCGATTATGAGGTCTGACTTTTTGGAGGACGATGGTTTTGTGATGCAAACGTCTCACTCTTTTGAACACATATTGTTTTGAGAAGAAAAACGCTTTATTTTACTGTCCCCAGCCAACTTGCCGGACTACTTTTGTCAGCACTGAAAACGGCCAGTATCTCGGCTCACCGGACACTGTCGGGGGTAAAGTCAGTGTTGATGCATGACACTGCTCACGGGGATGACTTAATCCAAAGAACGAAGACTTAAAAGTGTTAGAACTGTTCATTCTTTTGTAGTCTGCACTGAAATGGAGCAAAGGATCATGGTCTATGTAGTTCCCTCTGTCTTTTTTTTATATATCGCTGCACGATAACTCTTAATTTAAGCAAAGACACTTGTGATTCGATATATTATGATGGTCCACGATCAGTGTTGGGAAGGTGACTTTTAAAATGTATTCCCCTACAGATTACAGATTACATACCCCAAAATGTAGTTTGTAACGTAATCCATTAAATTACTTAATGTAAGTAACATAATCTGAATACTTTGGATTACTTGATTTGCTGTAGAGAAGCAAAGACTAGGATATGTTCACATAAGAAGATTTGTCTGTTAAAAGAAAATAAAAAGCCCAGACTTCACTTAACCGTATTAAAAATATTATTGATAGAATGGTTTCGTCCTGTTAAATCCTGTTTTAGTCCTGGTTTAGATCTAGTTTAGACCTGATTTAGACCTGGTTTAGATCTAATTTAGACCTGGTTTAGATCTAGTTTAGACCTGGTTTTAGTCCTGGTTTAGACCTGAGTTCTGTCCTGGTTCAATCCTGATTTAGTCTTGGTTTAGACTTGGTTTTAGACCTGGTTTAGTGTCCGGCAATGAGTGGAATTACTAAAAAAAAAAGGGATATAGCCCAAAATCTGAAAACAGGAAAATACCGCCATGTAATCCATTTATTTCAACAAAGTAACTGTAATCCAATTACCACTCACTGAAACAGTAACTGTAACCGAATACAGTTACTCATAATTTGTACTCTGATTACGTAACTCTGGTACATGTAATCTGTTACTCCCCAACACTGTCCACGATATTATTGTGAGAACTTTGACGATACAATATCACAGTATTTCGGTTATTGTTACATCCCTACTGTTTTTAAATAGACATAGTTAACGCTCTAGACGCCGCCTTCCAAATAGGAAGTTGGGATGTGGCTCTTCTGGCTCCTTCTGACTCTGGCTCCCGTTGATTTACATTAGAATATTGTCGCCCCCCTTCATCATTTTGCTCTTAAAACGTTCGTATTAACCCAGTCTACTTGATCTTGGTGTTTTTTTTCTTCTATTCTGTCCATTTAAATAAATCCTCACCAAACTTTTTTTCTCTGGGGGCCACATTTTCACTCCTGACTGTGATGGGGGTCAGGGTCGGGTCGGTCGTGTAACAGAATTATTTGACGCTGACGATGCAGATTATATTCTATGAAAACCGCCACACTTTCTTTACACATCAGACAAACTGCACGCTCCTGAACGCACTGAACAAAAAAATAATCGGTCGTCCACTGTTCTTTGAAAACTCGGCGCTCTCTGTCAACGTTTCGTACTTTAACAAGAGTCATTTTGTTGTTCTTAACTGCACTACAGAACTCTGCACGTGCGTCGACTGTCACCGTTTGATCTCGAGTTTATCAAAGTTGTTGAAAATTCGCTGGCAAATGTAAATACGTCATATAAGTATTTAAATGTAAATGCTTCATATAAATACCAAAAACAAAATGCAGATGTGTTATTATTTGCCAAAAAGTAATTTAAAAAAACAGGCCATGACAACTTTTGAGGATCGTCTCATAGGGCCAGTTGAAGTGGTGGGGGTCAGAGGGACTGGGGGGTCGGTCACAGGGGCGTAGAGGGCCAGATTCAGCCCGCGGGCCTTAGTTTGATGACCCCTGACATACAGCCTCACTCCACATTCGCTCCTGTACAAACATCGTGAGCTTTGTTTGAGTGACGCTGAAAGCTTTGGGTGACGTCACATACACTTAGTCCACTTTTTTATGTTGTCTGTGGTGTGGAGTGAATGAAAACTGATCTGTAAATCACCTGGATGAGTAAAATGGAACTTCGTAAATCCAGTGCATACATGACAATACATGACGACATATTAATTTGTTCATTTCAAACGATAGATGTAAACAGACGACAGAAGGGTTCAACATAACTGTCTTTAAAAGGTGCTGATTAGTAGAGGTTTAGTTTAGTTTAGTTTATTGTACTTATTTAGTGTCATGCACCATTTAATTGGTGCCCGTGCATTTCATTTTCAATGTCCTTTAAGTCGCACAGAGCACAAGTGCGCTCCTCCTCTAGGACTGAGTGGAAGCGTCTCGTCTCCAAGGCCAGAGGCAGAGTCCCACACCTCAACTGGGCACATACTGACCTCTGACCTCTGCTCAAGTTCAGGGTGATGTACGGCTCAGGTCCAAAACTGTCTTTAATTAAGATATATGTTCTTAATTTTGGTTTACATAAAATTTCATTGTGCCACTTTTGTTTATGCTTATCAAAGTAAATGTTCCTCGCTTGTCGTTTGACACTACAGATTAACTTATTTCTGTAAATAAACCGGAGATCTGCACTCACAAAAATGTTCTCAACCTCTCTGCTCCAGTAGAGGATCGGAAGCAACGTTTGCGATAATGTTGTTGTTAGGGATGGGCATGAATAGTTGATTAATCGATAATTGATCGTTAAGAATTTCATCGATTACGTTCATTTTAATCGACAAACTGAATGTAGGTTGCTGTGCGTAATGCGTGACCAAACGGGTCCGTACATGTGTCTCTGCACTCAGAAGGAGCGAGACACAAACAGTGGGTCAGTCTGCAACGTACCGAAGCACAAATGTGTATTTAACGATGACTTCTACAAGAAATTCCAGGCTTTCCGTTGCGTTCGGGACAAGTGTGAGTCCATGTGCACAGTGTATAAAGCAGCACATATGTTTCAGTGTCCAGTGGGAAAAAGTTTTTCCAGGTGAGAGTCGCTCAATGTCGATGACGAGTCCCCACCTCCCTCCCCCCGTACGCTGTCCTGGTTTTGACAAATGCAAATATGTGTGAAGAATCCCTCAGTCGTCCAGGTAGAATCCATGAGGAGAAAATTCAGTTTGTCGACTGGAAAAAAATTAGTTTGGCTGCGAAACGTCTTCAACCAAACTAACTTTTGTCCAGTCGATAAACTGAATTTTCTCCTCAAACGCAAATATGGTCACACTAACCTGTATTCTACTGAGTCATGTCTTTTAATCTGACAGAACTTGAACTGCATCGGTGCACAAGAGCTGTTTTTTTTTCTTCACTTAGTTTATGCAAATTAGCCATGCGGTTTTAAGTTTTGTTTCTGTGAGAGTTGTGCAAATCTGCATTAAACACATTATAATGTCAAACAGGCTGATGTGGCTCTAGAGTCGTTACGGTTTATATGTCGTTAAAGTTGAGTTTATTTATGCAGATTAGTAGTGCAGATAGTAATAATAATGATGATGATTTTAATATAAAAACATTAATGCTTAATCGATAATCGAGCGATAATTCTCCCTACGATCGATTAAGAAAATTTAATTGAATGCCCATCCGTTGTTGTTGTATCCTGTGGCACGACACTTCAACCTTTGCCTGTGGATCTGTTTGAAAAGTGTCTGTGGAGCGCGGTAACACTCAGAAGAAAGCATTAGTGTTGTGCAGCTTTTACACACTCTCACAGGATTCATTTACTTCAGTCTGTAACCTCGCTCCTCTTCCTCTCTCCTCTTCTTCTCGCCGCAGGTATGCTGGTGCTGACCTCCTCGGGGCCCCGGAGCACGCGGCGGACAGGGGACATGGGCAGGTGTTGTGAGGGCAGCAGGATCTCTCACCATGGGGCTGCGCTCCAGGACTAGTGCCGGAGGGGACAAGGGACCCCAGCAGACGCCCCCTGCTGGCGGCACAGCGTCAGAGGTGGGGGAGCGCGATGGGGCCATGCTGCTGGCCCCCGGGCGGGACGACCCAAAGCGGCCTCAGCACGTGGGCTTCGGGCTCCTGGCCAAGACCCCCCTGGACTACGAGAGGCCCCACAAGAGGAACCACATCCGCAAGAGGAAGGCCCAGAACCTGATCTACGACGCGCTGGAGCGGCCCCGGGGATGGGCCCTGCTCTACCACGCCTTTGTGTGAGTACCTCTGCACCTCTGCACGGGGCCCCACTACAACACACGTGTGCGAAAGGGTCATACTATATTAAACTGTCCTGATCCGATACTGGTATTGAATATCACGATCCAAATATTAATTAAGTCAGTATCCAGAATCTGTGTATCATTCATTCATTCGTTTTTTCAATATAAAACTAACAATAAGAAAACAAAAAACTTACTATTTTCTTCAATATTTGTCTCTAAAACAAAAATGAAAAAAACAAATAACGATTCTTTTTTTTTTTTTTCAGTTTTCGATTTTGTGTTTAAATCAGTGATGGAAAAAAACGGATTATGACCGTTTCCCGTATCCACGTGACTTAAACTGTGTTGCGGGACTTTTGTGCCACATACGGACTGAACCAGGACTAAACCAAAACTGAACCAGGATTAAACCAAAATTAACATGATTAAACAGGATTGAACCAGGACTAAACCGTTTTCAGTATTGGTCTGGTCCCGGTCTGGTCCCAGTCTGGTCCTGGTCTGGTCCCGGTCTCAATCCCGGTCTCAATCACGGTCTGGTCCTGGCCTCAGTCCCGGTCCCAGTCCCGGTCCCGGTCTCAGTCCTGGTCCTGGCCCCGGCCTGGTCGTGGTCTCAGTCCCAGTCTCAGTCCTGGTCTCAGTCCCAATCTCAGTCCCAGTCTCAATCACGGTCTCAATCATGTTTGGTCCTAGTCTCAGTCCTGGTCCTGTTCCTGGTCTAAGTCCTGGTCTCAGTCCTGGTCTCAGTCCCAGTGTTAGTCCCGCTCTCAGTCTCGGTCTGGTCCCGGTCTGGTCCTTGTCTCAATCACGGTCTGGTCCTGATCTGGTCCTGGCCTCCGTCCCGATCTGGTCTCGGTCTAAATCCTGGTCTTGGTCCCGGTCTGTTCCCAGACTCTAGTCATGATCTCAGTCCCGGTTTGGTCCTGGACCTGGTTCAGTCCTGGTTCAGTCCGTCGTCACAGTTTATCGTCGTTATCCGTTTTTTTTTTCCATTTTTCATTTAAACACAAAAATCAAAACCCGAAAAACCAAATCGTTATCCGTTTTTTCATTTTGATTTTGGAGACAAATAATGAAGAAAACAGTTGCTTTTTCATTTTCTTATTTTTGGTTTTATTTCGAAAAACGAATGAACGAACGACACACGGATTATCCAGGTTTGACTTAAATAAATCAACATAGGATTATTTCGTGATCTTGGTTTGATTTTGTGTTTTTCTGTGCCGTTAACAAACACAGAACACGTGTGGATGAGTTCTGTCTTATTTTATTTTTGTGCAGAGGAAATAAATTCTGTTTTCTGCCATAGTATCGGAGTTTGTATTGGTACTGAAAAAGCTGGATCGCTGCATCTCTGATTATAACTATAAAGCTGTTGTCCTTTGATCGATTCAGTTGATTTATTCGATAATAATAACCGTTCAGGGCTTCACGAGTGCGTGGTTTAGCCTGACACATTTTGTATATTTGAGCGAGACTTTCTGTTTTGCCGCACAGATGTTAAACAGGTTTGTAGATTATCTCAGGAAATCCCCGTCCATGTGGCTGGTCGAGCGCAGGACGAAGCCAAACTGAAACGACGACAGCGGATTTTGTGTAACATACGATGAGTTTATCCTAAAGAGTTTACTGCAGAGCTTTGCCTTGAGTAGGGACAGGCGATATATCGGTTTCATTATTGGTCCGATATTGAACATTTAGCGGAAATCTGACTCATGCGTCTGTCTTACTTTGTTTTGAAAATGATCTGCTACACTCTTGACTTGAGTTTTTTATCACACCGTGCTTCTTCATGAAAAAGAGACATTGTTTTGTGCTGTGTTTTATTTGCTCTTGTTTGAATATTTCTTGGAGAACACAAAATGGCAAACCTGGAAACGCTCCTTTTTGCTTGTGCTTGTAACAAAACTTTCTCCAGACTCACTTGGATCAGTTCTGCTAATGTGAAGACTGTAGTTTGACAGATTCAGGCCACGTTTACACTGAAACGAATCGCCGTATCGGAAATGATCTGCGTCCAGACACGTCGTTTCCGTGTCCGCAAGTCTTCTCTATCCACGCAGCTTCGAGCACATTTGTTTACTTTTTACAGAAACGAAACTTAAAACCACATGGCTAATTTCCATAAACTGAGCGCTCAGAAAAACAGCTCGCTTCTTGTGCGCTGATGCGGTTCAGCTTCTGTCGGACTAAAGGACACAGCTTAGTGGAATATGAGTGTTCTTTCTGTGACAGAGGGGTGTTCTGCTGATGGTGAGTCTGTTCTGTGTTTCTATCACGTTGGAGATGATTCATGTTAAACTTTTCAGAGATTATACGGTACGATCATATGCATAAACCGTTTATATATTCTAGCCTCTTAGTGCTTTGGTGGGGAATTACTTCGCGGTGCACAGACCTAAATCAGTGTATCAGCGTTTTCAGGCGTCCACACAGTGCTGGATCAGATCTGTACTCAGATGAATTCGTGGGAGCTGTCGGCACCAGATCGTTCCGTCTCTGGAGCCGTTTTCAGTTGGATTAGTGTGAACGGACACTGCATCCGCAACCAAAACGACTCGAATATGTACCAGTGTGGATGCGGCCTGAGCTGAACCTCCTGAGGTTTTATTTCAATTTTAAAAATGTTTGCAAAATTCTGCCAACGTTACAGAATATAGGGTCTATAACTATTCATTAAAATAATCTTTTATGAGTTTTTAACTGTGTTTGAATTGTGTTCCTTTATCATAAGCTCACTCAGAGTTATGTTTGTATTGATTTTTGATTACTTGAGTGCTCTTGTATTATTCTGCATCTGAGACTCACAACAGCATGTCTGTATTTGTTCTGTACTTCAGTTTTGTTGTAATCTGCCCTTTAGTTACGCTATTGGGGTGGTGAGGGAAGTCCTTTCCTGTAACCATGTCCCCGGTTGTGTATTGCTGCTGAAAAACCAACATAGTATGTGAATATTTGTTTTGGCTTGACTTTACTTCGTTGTCCGTCCAAACACGCGAGTTGGCTTTCGCGCGTTCGTTCGTCATCATCATCTTCTTGTGTTTGTTTGTTGTGGAAGAGGAAGGATTTTATGTGCATACACTCTTTGTAGTTTTGTGTATCCAGTGGCTCTGGCTGTGTCCTCTTCCCAGCGCCACATACAGGTGCGGCATGTGCATTACATCTTTTCACTCTGTGCTCCATCTGGACGTGAATATTTATTGATCCGACGCGTGTGTGGAAGCACATTTTTTTCAGCCCGCAAAAAAAAATCCAGGAGTTTTGTCGTGTGGACGTGGACTTAAAGGTTGTATGGAAGATTTTTTTGTTTTGTTTCAAATTTCAGTGAAAGTTTAAAATACCATTACAGAAACACAGCAACCTTGTAATTATGATGACTAAAAAAAAAAAAATGAAAATCTATCAAATGTGAACGTGTTGAGGCCAAATAAACATCAGCCAATAGACAACAAGACTACCTCTTTTTCTATTGGCTGTTAGGTTGTCAATCAAACTCCCTACGTTTCTAGTGTAAGTGACTCGTCGGCGCGCTGGGATTACGTGGTTTATGCAGCGGTTCTTAGAGGTTTTTTCAAACTGTAGCTTCCTCACAGTTCGCACAGAGTTTGTCACAATGGCAGACGAGAATCCACGACAAGTTCTCCGCAAAAGAAAGTCCGTTTTTGAGGTCGCTGAAAGAAGAAGAGAAGGGGAAAAGGAGCGAAGACAAACTGAGGTGATTCTTGGAGATCTCTTCCAGCGATGGTGCGACTGAAGCTGACGAAGGGTCTAAAGACTGACATGTCGGTTGCTGAATTACTTCTAGACGGGTCACTTCAACAGTAATTCTGAATGCGCACTGGCTGTAAACAAGCGTGACTTCTAGAGTAAAGAGGCAGGAGGAGATGTTTCTACTGAAGGAGCCGTGAAGGAGGAAGGTGGTGTCACGCATGCACAACATTTGAAAAAGGACTGTCACTGTATTTCTTTTCCCTTAAAAAATCCTCTATACAACCTTTAAGTGCTCATCTTAAGTGCTGTTTTCACATACCCCCTATCCCCACCCACTGCTGTGTATTTACAAATATTCTAAAAAATCTAACTCTGTATCATATGTTTAGGGATAAAAAAAACTTTCTGAATAATACATTATATTTAAATATGTAAAAAAAAAGAACATGAGCAGCATGTGGCTCGTGTTGACACATGCGTCTCTGTATAAACACTGTTTACATACATGTTACATACATGTTACATACACTTACCCGATAGATGCAACTCACATACACACTGTGAGGGCGTGAACCTTCAGTGTGACTCCTCTCTGTCTCGCCAGGGCCTCCATCTGGCTCTGTACACAACATACTGCAATACTTTATATGAACACTGCAGTACTCTATATGAACACTGCAGTACTCTATATGAACAGACTGCAGTACTCTATATGAACACTGCAGTACTCTATATGAACACTGTAGTACTCTATATGAACACTGCAGTACTCTATATGAACAGACTGCAGTACTCTATATGAACAGACTGCAGTACTCTATATGAACACTGCAGTACTCTATATGAACACTGCAGTACTCTATATGAACAGACTGCAGTACTCTATATGAACAGACTGCAGTACTCTATATGAACAGACTGCAGTACTCTATATGAACAGACTGCAGTACTCTATATGAACAGACTGCAGTACTCTATATGAACAGACTGCAGTACTCTATATGAACAGACTGCAGTACTCTATATGAACACTGCAGTACTCTATATGAACAGACTGCAGTACTCTATATGAACACTGCAGTACTCTATATGAACAGACTGCAGTACTCTATATGAACACTGCAGTACTCTATATGAACACTGCAGTACTCTATATGAACAGACTGCAGTACTCTATATGAACAGACTGCAGTACTCTATATGAACAGACTGCAGTACTCTATATGAACACTGCAGTACTCTATATGAACAGACTGCAGTACTCTATATGAACAGACTGC